AACTATCATTAAGACAAGCAGACTTGTCTGAGGTTTTATGGTGAGTCTAGGTGACCTTCCCTCCCCTGTTTTCTAGATGCCATATGTAATATATATTTGCATATGTGAGGATATTGAAAGCTGTCAGTACTATGATTCTTTAATTGAGTATTCAAGATGAGTGATCTCTAAATTCACTTTTAATTCTAATGATATGTTAGTCATGATCATGTAACATCTTTCTCAATTCTAGAGTCTCCAAATTAGGGTCCTTATTGAAAATGAATTTCGTAGAGAAAGTGAAGTACTGAATTCTTTTCTACAAAGGTGATGGCAGGGAGTAGAAGACATTGGGAGGTAACACTCATAGTATATACACATGAAAATCTGAACAAAGTTCTAATCTGTAGATGTTTGTGCTGGGTGACTTATGAAGAGATTGGGACTGTCTAGGGAATACCTTTAATGTTATAAAGCTAATCTATTCAAGGAGTATTGTAGATTGAATTCACTCTCTTATTTTAGCCCGTAGGGGGAAAAATTAAGACTAAACCCAAGTATTTTAAGATAATGACTTTTAAAAATTGCTTGAAAAGATAATTTACACCTACTGCTTAAGTAATACCACTGCCCATTCTGTTCTGTGTTCCATCTGTTGCAGGTGAGCACATGTCTTCTTCTGTTCCTTTTTTCTCCCCTTTTACTTGAAGTTCTTATATGCTTTCTTCTAAATGGTGGTGCCGCAGTCTGGCTGGGCACACAATCACGAGCCACCACACAGCTTGACCACCTTCAATTTAACCTTTTAAAGCCTTTCAATTATCATCTATACTGTACTTTTAAGTGTACTTTTTCACCACCTACAACTTCACTCTTTTAAACGAGGCTTAGATTTTGTTTAAATCGCTTCAATGTTAGTTTACATGGCTGCCCTTCAACCAAAGGCTTTTTTTTTTTTTTTTAACTCCATTGAGAAGCTTTGTCTCAATCTGCCATGTACAAATACCTTTTTTCTTCTTTTTTCCTTTCTCAAGCTTATAAAGTAAGTCTAGTTTCCTCAAAATCTTTTTAAATGGCATTTTACAACTTTTTACTTTACCACACAGAAATTATCTCATATAGAAACATTTCTTTTTCCTTTAACCTTTTATATTAAAATATATTTCCACATCTTGAATCTTTTTCTATCTCTTTTTTAACCGTTAACCCTTTTTATAAATTCACATTTTGAAACAACTCTTATAAAATTTCTGATTTAGACAAATTACTCCACTTTAATAAGATGAAAGACTTTCATGTTTTTATGATACTATAATACTATAATTGAAACCCAACTGAAAATTTTTCTACTCTTTGTATATAAATTACACATGATAGAATCTTAACACTTAGTAACCTTGTTTTAGCAAAGACACAGACACAAAGCAATGTTAAACATTTTTCCATTTACCAATTTATGAAAACACACATAATGTTTAAATATATTACCTTATGGAACTTAATAAGTAAAGAGTACTTGATTTTATATTTAGTGATTGATATTTTAACACTTCAGCTTTGTAAATTAATTAGATGTCTGTAAAAAACAAGATCTTAGACAAATGTAGTAAACAGAACTAGCCATCTCTTGCTGGTGGGCCCTAAATTAGTGTTTGTTGCCTCATTTCCATTACCTTCTCTATAAACTTTTGTTTTAAATTATGAATTCCTTTAAAGTCTTATGTATCTTTTTATTTCCTGTGTCAAGCACATGCTTGACACATAATAGACATATAATAAATGTTTGTGGGCATGGACTTTTCAAAAAAGACTTGAAGTCTCCTATTCTAACTCTCCTATTCTCTAGCTGTGTCTTTAGGTGAGCTTCTTTGGTGCCTGAGGCCTCCTACTCATGACTCTTGTTCCAGAACAACTTGGTCCATACACATTTATATACAAAACTCTGAGATGCTGGGCACAGAAACATAAGAGACACACTCCATACTTTAGAGCACCTTTCTGTGTAGGAAACAACCTGATAATTGTTGTACACTGTAATAATTCCCTAAGTATAATAGGTTTCATTATAGGATCACAAGAAGGCATTCCACATGGTCTGGAAGACAGTTTAGGATCAAGAAATATACCCTGAAAGTGTTGACACTTGAGATTGTAAAAAAATAATAGAAGTTGGACTGAAGGGGAATTTAAGGATATACTAGGCAGAGAATACAGTGTTAGCCTAAGCATGAAAGTAAGAAACATCACTAGGTAAAGTACAAGTATATTTATATTTGAAGAGTTTATAAAGAATTGATAAGAGGTGACAGTAGAGAGATTAATAGCTCTATAGGGAATGGTCATTTTAGTTATTTGCAAATACATAACAAACTATACGAAAACCTAATAGCCAAAATAATGCACATTATCATCTTATAGTTTCTGAGGTTCAAGGACCTCTGCCTCAGGGTTTCTCACAAAGCAGCAATCAAGTTGTCAGCCAGGACTGTAATTACTCTGAGGTTCATTTAAGAAAGAATTCCAGCTTCATTCAAGTGTTTGCTAATAGTATTCTATTCTTTTGGTGCTATTGGAATGAGTGTTTGGTTCTACTTCAGAGCCTTCTCTCAGTTTCTTGTTCCATGGTCCTCTCTGTAGGACTGCTCACAACTTTGAAGCTGAGAGGGAGCAAGTGAGAGCAAGAGATGAGGGTAAATAAAATGGAAGTCTGAGTTTTTTTAACCTAATTTTAGAAGTGACATCACTTTTGTCATACTCTATTCATTAGTATGAATAGTAATGCAATGGTAATAGCAAGTCATTAGGTTCCAACTCTACCTGTACACACACTCAAGGGGAGAGGATTACACAAGAATATGAATATTACAGAGGCAGGTGTCATTGGGAACCATCTTTGAATCTACCTATCAAGTAGACTTGAGGATATAATATTAGAAGCCAAAAAAACTTAGGGGGCTATTGTAATAATTCAAGTGAAGGATGTGAAGATTATTATAGACATGTATAATACAATGAAGTTAAGAAATATTTAGGTTGTGAAATCATGAAAGGTTAGTGATTTAGAGGATGAGGTTATAATGGGAGAAGGAATTAAGGGTGGCTTCTAATTATTTTTGGCTCTTAAATCACTATTGATCAAATAATATTTACTTCAATGTATCTGAAGCTCCTGTCCACATTGAGTTGTTCACTTTCATTACTGCTGTTCTTCATACTTTTAATAACTTAGGTTTGTCCTTAATATGGCTCTCATTGTGTCTTTCACTACATCCAGGTAGATACCAGTTGTTTCTCTGTTTAATTCTCTTTTATTTGATCCTTTTTTAATTGTTACCCTTTTGACCCAAGTAATTATCACTGTACTTAATGTGTGGGAACAGATCCTAATTCAATTCCTATGTCCTTTTCCATTCATTAATTCTTATTCTAAAATACTTCCTACCTGTTTTCATTCTTTCAACAATTATATTGGGCCTACTTTATGACCAGCATTGTACAAGGCTACCTTCGGAATGTCTTAATGAGCAAGATAAGCATTATCTCAGTTATCTTTTAGTCTTCATTAGTTCCTTCTCTTTCCTACCTTCTGTCAAATATTAATAAATCTTATTGGGATCCTGTCTCAAAATGAAAAATAAAGTGCTGGGATTATAGCTCAGTGGGAAAGTGCAATCCTCAGCACCCCCCCCCCAAAAAAAAAGAAAATAAAAGGAAATACCACTAATTCTTAAAGTAGTCTTTAACTTCTATTCTTCTGTGAGACCTTCCTTTAAAAATGTATGTTCTTATGATTTTTTTTCTCCTGTAGTTGTTTTCAAGAGTTTTTCCTTTGACATTTTGAGATTCCATGTTTTAAAAGTGAACTCTTACCTAAGCTATTTACCTAAGCTTTATTATTCTTTAGTAATGACCTCTCAGTCTGTTGCAAGTAGTAGTGTTAACACTGTAACTCATTGGAATCTCACCTAGAGAACTTTGTAAACAGATAGGTGCCTGGATCTTCCTTTAAAAATTCTGGTTCAGGGCTGGGCATGGCGCATAGCTCCAGAGGCTAAGGCAAGAGGATCACAAGTTCAAAGCCAGCCTCAGCAAAAGTGAGGTGCTAAGCAACTCAGTGAGACCCTGTCTCTAAATAAAATGAAAACAGGACTGGGGATATGGCTCAGTGGTTGAGTGCCTCCTAAGTTCAATCTCTGGTACTCCTCACCAAAAAAAAAATTCTGGTTCCATATGTCAGAAATGAAAACAAAACAAGGTGAGGTGAATTTGTTGTCCAGCTAAGTTAGAATGTTGTCGCATTAGATCTGTCCTCTAATGCAGTTACTAATTGTTTTGTGTACATTTAGCTTTATTCCTAAAGCAGTAGTTTCATATGCTGATAAAGACCAACTCAACACATACAGGTTTGTGGGCCCCATCCCTAGACATACCAAGTATGCAGCATCTGTGGTTATAACCAGTCTTATATTTTTTTAAAAAAATATGACCAAGAAATTACCAGATTTGAGGAATATTGGATTGATATATTATTTTTTTTAATATTTTTAAATCAGTATTATTCAGATAAATGGATATAAATATTTGTAAATATTAGTAGGACCAGTGAGTCTGATAGGCTATGATTACCTTGGAAGGTTGAACTCATGCTGTGTTTAGATATTTAGATGATTCAATATTAGTTTTTAAAGTTTAGTCTTATACATTGATATGTTTTCTGAAGTTCTTTTAGATTGAATAACAACTTACTGATCACATGAAAAATTTATACTTTATTTATTTATTTATTTTTATGTGGTGCTAAGGATTGAACCCAGGGCCTCACACATGCTAGGCAAGTGCTCTACCACAGAGCCACAACCCCAGCCCCTGATTGCTATATTCTTTTTTCTGATGTTATTCTGGCAAATCTGATTCTATTCCACTATAGGAAAGTGTGTTGTTATTGTCTTGCAGAATGGGGTTGTCAGAATGTAGCTTAAATAAACGCGTTGTCTTTTTTTTTTTTTTTTTTTTTTTTTTAGCGTTATTCCTCTTTTAAAAGAGTCTGTTGGAATATTGATGCAGAGAACTCCTCCCTTGTTGGAAAATACTCTGCCTCAGTGCTATCAAAGGGTAAGTTTCAAAGTTTCCAAACCATTGGATTTTATGTTGTTTCCAAACTGTTAGGGTTTTCAACTTTCATAAATATGGGCAGCATGTGTGTATAATTTAGTATTTCTCCCAAGACTGAATGCTGACCATGAATACCATTTACACAAACCAGAATAAAATCATTGGAAAATATTGAACTTTACTAAAGAAAATGTGGTAGAAATTGTTCTCATCCAGAAATTGATCTGCTCTTTTAAAATATAGAATATGAAGAGCAGATCAAATAAGCATTTATTTCATATTTTTTTTTAACTTGTACTCAGCATCACGCTCTTTTTTAAAATAGTGAGGATGTAGTAGTAAAAAAGACAGTGCCTCTTTTCTCATGGAGCCTACATTAGAACTAGTGGAGGAAAAACAGACACTAAGCAATAAGTTGATAAGAAAATATCAGTGATAATTGCTATAAAAGAAATAGAATGAGGGGATGTGATAGACATGGATGCCTATATTAGATTCACTGAGAAAGTCACTGAAACCTAGAAGACAAGAAGAAACCAGCCATATGAAAATTCTGGAGAAGAATTCTGATAAAAATATTTTTGATAGATATAAGATCACCCTTTTCTTAATTTTATAATTAATTATAAATTAATATGCTTAATTTTTCAATTAAGTATATGATATAAAAAGCATATTATGTAGTATATAATATTCACAAACATATTACATAAAAATCAAATCTAAAATTGAAAAGGATCTGTTGTTCATTTGATCCGGACTTCTACTTTTTCCTAGGCAAAGGAAAACACTAGTGCAGAAGTGCTATGATTGGGACTAATTTAGTGTATTTAAAAAACAGAAGGAAAAAAAAGGCCTTTGTGGTTGAAGCATAATAAATAAAGGGAAGAGTGTTTTGAAATGTTGGAGAGAAATGTAGAGGTCAGATTGTACAGGGTTTTGGTCATCTAAGGTTTAGAATTTACTGCAGTGGAAAATACTGGAAAGTTTTGAGATAGTGGGAGTATCATAACCCTTATGTTCTTAAAAGATTATTTTCTCCATGTGAAGAACAAATTCTAGGGAGAATGGAAGTAAAGAAAACCAATCTATTATCTATTGTCATATAAGTGGGGGAAAATGATGGCTTATTCTGCTGTCATAGCAATGAAGATGGAAATAAATATGAATTTGTGATACATTTTTGGAGGTGGATTATACTAGCAAAGGTGGGGCAAAAGTGTTGGCTTACTGTGTGGTAGATGGTAATGTTGAGATTTGAGACTGGATTGATACATGTTTGAGGATGGAAAATCCTACCAAATCAAGAATCCTGTTTGGGATATGTTAAATTTGAAATGCCCATTATACTTCTAGGGGAAATGTTCATAAAGTAACAAATTTGGAGTTTGGGGAATAGGTTAGGGTTAGGAAGAGTTTAAGTCATTAATATATGAATGGCATCAAAAACATTTAGGATTACATGAGATTACCTGGTAGAGGATATAATTTTATTCTCTTAGTTCCACTTTCAGCTCTAGATCTAGAGCACAGGTGGAAAAGCCAGGAAAGGTTAATAAGGAAGCTGGAAAATCAGAAGGGTGTAGTACCACAGAGCTGAAGAAGAGTTTAGTATTTGAGTTGAGTATTTCTATGGTGGTCATGTCAGTTAGGAACAGTGAAGTAATCCTTGTCTTAGCAACGTGAGATTAATGACCTTGATGAGAGCAATTTCAGAGTTGTGTTGAGGGGGAGAGCTTGATTTGAGGGAAGTAAAGACAATGGTTACAGACAACTCTTAAGAAGTATTGTTAAATTGAGCAGAGAAATGAGTTGATAAGGTTGATGGGCTGGATACGGATACAGTACCAGGAGACAGGGTATTTCCTCATTTGAAAAATATGGTATCTTAGAACAGTATTATCCTATAGAAAACTATCCCTGACAGTGAAAATATTCTATTATCTGCATTGTCCAGTGTGGATAGCATAACTGAATTTTTAAAATTTAATTTTATTTCATTGAAGTAGCCACATGTGATTTTAACTTTGTTTCATTTGAATAGCCACTAGTGATTTTTTGTATTGCACAGCACAGTTCTAGAACATGTGTGTTACTGGAAAAGTCCAACTGAAGGGAACAAATTGATGGTACATCAATGAAGGACATTGTTAAAAGAATGAAGTTCTTGAGCAGGTGAAAGGATAGAGCCAAAAAACATGATCGAAGAATTAATTCTAGATAGGAGCAGGAATACCATATACCCTGAGGAAGGTAGAAGGTACTGACATAGATAAGAGGTGACTGGTAGATTTTGGTGATACAGGGTAAGACATTTTCTATGTTACTTCAGGTTTTTCTATGATTTAAAAGGCAGTGTAATCCTACAAAAAGATTGGATGCTTTAGGAAAATGAAAAATAGTATAAATATAGTATAAAGTAGTTTTTTGAAATAGGGAAAATGAAGTGTAACCATTTAAGATTAGTTGTTTAGATTTGGGAACAGAATTAGTTAGTATAAGAGTGGGACATTAAAAGCTAGTTTCCGCAGGAATTATTCCTTACTGTATGTTTTAGGATAACTGGAAGAATATCCTAGTACTGCTTTTTCTATGGAGGAAGAGGAAATCTATTCACAGATTGTTGTCTCACTAATAGTAGACCACTCCTTGAGGATGCCACTTAGGACAATGTGGAGGAATTCTTAGTTTGAAGACACTGTGTCCTCAGAGGCCTCAAGGAGGAAGAGAAAATTCCCTTTGATCTCTTTCCCTGGTAAAAACAGTTTTCAAAGAGAGCACAGTGGATGTTGTCTTAAATTTCCCATCAACTCTCTTGGAGTTTCTAAAAATATAATACCTGTATTCCTCAAATTCTGAGAAAAATATTTTTGATAGATATAAGATCAGCCTTTTCTTAATTTTATAATTAATTATAAATTAATATCTTAATTTTTCAATTAAGTATATGATATAGAAAGTATATTATGTAGTATATAATATTCACAAACATATTACATAAAAATCAAATCTAAAATTGAAAAGATCTGTTGTTCATTTGATCCAGACTTCTACTGTTTACAAAAATCTCCACTGTGAAACCCAGTTATTTATGCAGTTTGTTGACTATTTCCAGGTAGAGGTAGTAAACCCCTTCACAGAGTTGCCTCTTTTTCTTTTCTTTTTTATTCTTTTTCTTAGGTTCTGGGACATGAACCCAGGATCTTGCCTGTACTAAACACATGATCTGCCACCAAGCCCCACCCCCCACCCTAGCCCTTTCTCTTTTTAAGCTGCTGTAGCATCTTTCTCTTTTTCCTGATCTTCAAAGGAGTCCACCTAAAGTTTTATTCTTAAATATTTTTTACATTTTTGGCAGATAACCTGTATTAAAACAAAATCATCCTAGTAATTTTTTCTGGATCATAAACAATTTAAGTACTGTAATTATAATACACTTATTGAAATGACTGTATGATTTTTCTGTTTATTAATTGAAGAATAACAATAATAGAGTTTCTGATTTGAAACCATTCTTCTTTCTTGGGATAAACTCAATCTAGTCATGATATGTTATTTTCTTCATATATTGTTGGATTTAGGTTATTTAACTCATAAGGCAAATTAGTTTATGATTTATTGTCTATCTGGTTTGGGGAATCAAAGTAATTTTTTACTAATGTAATGTAGCAGCTCTTTTCTATTTCTAGAAAACCAAAAAGTGGTTATCTTCTTGAAAGTTGCTCCCCATCCCCAGGTTTAGAGCTTTATTGAAAGAGAATTTTGTTACCAATTCAATTTTCAATGATTCTTTCACTTTCACATTTTCTTTTTTTTAGTATTTTTGGAAATTTATCCATTTTGTATACATTTTCATAATGTGTTTTTATTTATTTAATATATATTACTATTGAACTTACTTGGACCCGGTATTTTAAGCACTTAAAATACAAAATAAAAATAAGTTCCTGACCTTATTGATCTTAAAGTCTTCAGGAGGAGACACACAGTACACAGTATAAATAGAGGCTGATTATTCCTTAACTGAAATGCTGAAAGAGAATTGTTTCAGATTTCAAATTTTTCTTTTGATTTTGAAGTATTTGCATATCTATAATGAGATATATTGGAGGTGGTACCAAAGTCTAAGCATGAAATTCATTGATTACATTATACCTTAATTCATAGCCTGGTGGTAGTTGTATATAATATTTTTAGTGCACTTGTGTTTTTACTGTCATCCTTTACATTTTGCATTTTTTTGGATTAGGGATGCTCAACCTATAATATAGATGAATAAATGAGTGGATGAATGCTATGCAATGTCACATGCCCAAGAAAAGATTTCTAAGAAGATGACATTTGATTCAATACCCAAAAAAAGTAGAAATCTGAGAAGAATATTCCAAGCAGAGGCAAGCAAGTAACCTGAGACAGAAATGTGCCTGGCTTTTTTTAAAGAATGGTGAGGAGGCTGGGGCAGCTGATGAAAAGGGACAGAGGAGAAGAGGTGGTAGTGAGGTGAATAATGTGAAAGGGTGACAAGTTGTAAAAATATTGGCTTAATGCAGAGGTAGAAAGGAAGCTATTGGAGGATTTTGAACAGAGGAGTGGCAGCATCTGACCTGTAAACCAGTGGACTCTCACTTAGGCTACTATTTTGAGATTAGATAGAATAGATGCAAGGCTAGAATTAGAGAAACTAGTTAAGAAGCTATTATAATTATTTAGGACTACATTTGGATTAGGCTGACCTCCCAATGGAGGTCTCATTGAGGATTGTTTGGATTCTACTTGGTTGTAATATTTTGTATAGTCATATATTAATATAGTCAATATTATTCATAGGATTCCTGTGGCATTCATAGGATTCCTGTTTGTAGATTTTAAATTTTAAAGTTTCTTTTTTGTGTGTTTGTAGTTATCTACCTTTTTCATTTTGCATTTTGTTTGATTCTATCTTATCTTTTACCTTCATCAGAAGTTTGCATTGGTGTGGTTCTTGACCTAAGGCTGTGGAAAACCTAGGGAGCTGTTGGATACATCCCTCACATAGACATCTTCCTTCCCCTCTTTTAGTATTGTCATATTATTTGGGGAAGGGTACATGTTGGCATTTGTTCAATGAGACCCAGAGAGGCAAAGGTCCTGTATTCTCTTGGACAGTCACATACCCCGAAGAATTGTCCTGCTTAATATATGTCCCATTTAGAAATATTTCTTTAGTTTATTAATCTTTTCAAAGAATTAATTTCTATATTATGAATTTTGTCATATTCTAAAATCTCTATATCATTGATTTCTGTCCTTTATTTTCTCCCTTCTTATTTCTTTGGGTTTTGTTCTTTTTCTAGCTTCTTGGCTCATTTGTATTTGTTTTCTGATCAGTGTACTTGAAATTTTCACTTCTCCTGTAGGTATTCTCAGTTATGCTTCACAAGTTTGATATGTGTTCGTTCATTCTATTTCTCAAACCCCTATTATGGTGTTATCTGGTATATAATATGTTTGCATTGGTGTGGTACTTGACCATAGGTATTTGTCAATTCAAATACCCTCCTCCCCTTTTTTCAACTAGAGGGTAGAATCTATGCTAATTGATAGATTGCATAACAACTTCAATGGGAGAGGGCACATAAATTTTGTTTTGATGCTGATATCTGCCCTTTGTATTTTAGGTGCAGCAGTTGCAAGGAGTTTATAGTTTACAAGAACAGCACTTCTGGACTTTATGTTCTGATGTTTACGTTGGGACCTTGAAATTAATAGTAGCACCTGATGCTGATGCCAGATGGATTTTAAGCCAAACACATAATATTTTCACTCAGGTAAGATTGTGTTGCTAACTTCTTGTAAGGGTCTTAAAATTTATTGTGTGTACTAGTTTATAAATGTTTATTATTTAGCATATTAAATATAGGCTAGTAAGCTATAAGGGAAATATAAAACTACATTTTTCCTCCAATCAGAGTCTTAATTTGGGAGATCTTTATTTTAGTTAATACTCTTAAGGAAGATGGTTTCAATTTATTCATTGTTGTATTGACTTGATTTTCTTTAAAAAAGTGGATTCTTGCCAGTCATGGTGGTACATGCCTATAATCTCGGCAACTCGGGAAGCTGAGGTAGCAGGATCTTGAGTTCAAAGCCAGCCTCAGCAAAAGTGAGGTGCTAAGCAACTCAGTGAGACCCTGACTCTAAATAAAATACAAAATAGGTCTGGGGATGTGCCTCAGTGGTCGAGTTCCCTGAATTCAATTCCTGGTACACCCCCACACACAAAAAAGTGGGCTCTTCTTTACTGCACACTCCTTATCCATATTAGATGCTATTTGAAACCAACAATTCTAAAAGAGCATTTGGAATAATAATAATACTTTGTTAGTGGCTTTAACCACAATCTGTTAACTTTTTTGGTTTTTGTCTTTTTTGTACTGGGGATTGAACTCAGGGGCACTTTACCACTGAGCTACATCCCCAGTCTTTTTTATTTTTTATTTTAAGACAGGGTCTTTTGATTTGGGCCTTGCTAAGTTACTGAGGTTGATCTCAAACTTGGCAATCCTCCTGCCTCGGCCTCCCAAGTCCTGGGATGGTAGGTGTGTACTATGTGTGCCTGGTCTGTTATCATTGTTGCATGATAGTTACCTTCTGTGTGATTTAGTAGCTTACTATGCTATTGAATTTTTCTTAATACAGGTTGAATATTCCTTATGCAATATGCTTGGGAGCAGAAGTGTTTCAGATTTCAGAGTTTTTTTGAATTTTGGAATGTTTGAATAGACTACCAGTTGAGCATCCCTAATCTGAAAATCTAAAATACAAAATGCTACAAAATCTGAAAATTATTGAGTATCACATTGGCTAAGATATGAATATAGGCTGTATAATAGTTCACATAAATTGTATGGGAATTAAATTTCTTGGGTATGATAATGTTATTGTGACTGCAGAAGAATTTTAGGAGATAATGTGCAAAGGATTTAATGATAAAGTATCAGGATGTCTAATTTTCAAATATTTTAGCAAAATGTAGAGAAAACAAATTTGGCAAAATGTTAACTTTGGGTGAGTATAGGTGGTGGGTACCTATTTTACTTTGTTTTGACTTAAATTTTTTTTTCAAAATAAAAGCCTGAAAAATAAAAACTATTATAGCTCCTCATTACCACCAGGATAAAGCCCAAACTTTATTAGCATGGTCCAATTCACTTCAAATCTCTATGCTGCTCTTCATTGCCATGTACTTTATACTCCAAACTCACCAGACTATTCACTTTCATATGGATTAAAACCCTACTCTAACTTAACTGTCAGTTGTGCTGCTTTCTCTTAGAAGCCTTAAAGATCCCTCTAAGCTGAATTACTTTATCCTTTTATATATGTATCACATTATACATCTCTGTCTCTGTCTGTCTATCTCTCATGCACACATCTTTAGATAGAAGCAACATAACATAATGTGTAGTTTAGTTAAATTTAGGACATTAGCATAAATTAAGCAATCTCTCCTCATAAAAAGACATGTATGATTTGAGTTCCTTAAGGAATGAATTAATGGCATAATCTTATGTGTAATTAGGATTTACTCTAATCCTAATCATATGCAATCAAGAGTTACTCTGCTAATAGACAACAATTTGTAGTTACCACTTATATATCCCAGAATTTTAACAACTAGGCCTTTTTTTTTTTTTTGGTACCCTGGATTGAATCCAGGGGCTCTTAAACTCTGAGCCACATCCCCAGCTCTTTTTATATTTTATTGTGAGACAGGGTCTCACTAAGTTACTTAGGGCCTAAGTTACTGAGTATGGCTTTGAACTTAGAATTCACTTGCCTCAGCTTCCCAAGCTGCTTGTGCTATATTGCACCTGGCTTTAGGCCTCTTTCTTAACAGACACTTTATATATGTCTGTATCATTATGAGTTTCATAATGAAGTATGCAAGACCTTCATGGTATGTCTGAATCCTTCTCATACCTCCTCCATGTTTCAGGGTCAAAAGGAGAACAAGACAAGCAATAGTCTGTTTACTGCCTTTTCCAAATCATTTTGCTCTCCTTTATCCTGAATTTTCTCCTGGTTATTCTGTACCCTCCATCTTCATAGTTACGAACTTCTGTTGATCTCCAGGACATCCTGTACTCTCCTAAGACATTGGCTCTGAGTCACAATTTTCACTCTGAGAAGGATTGCAGTTTCTAGGTTGAGAAATGTGCAAGCAGCTGTCTGTGCTTAGGAACTGCAGAAGTTGTAATTGAAGTAGGTAGCGGAGATGGTTCTAGTAATGTTGGAAATCTTAGTGAAGCTGAAAGTTTATTTAACTGCTTCTTTGATTTTGGAAACTGCATTTGGGCTTTGATTATTTTAAGCTCTGAAACATATTTAAGCCTTTTTATCAACCTAGAGTCATGACAACTTTATCTTATTCCTTGCAGAGATCAGGGTCTCTCTTTGAGGCTTACAGTAAGGAAAGCTCAACATGTTTTCCCCAACGGGTTGAGGGAAGTCACCCCACTAATAAATTTAATTTTTACACTTGATGCATATAATGATTTTAAAGTTGTCTCATCATCTTTTTAGTTCTCACATATACAAAACCAAAATTTTCTTATTAATTTATTTTCCCTTTCAGCTTATACCTTAGTCATACATGTCTTTATGGAATGAATATGTCAGAGCTTATTTTAAGTATTGCCATAGCATTTTGTTTCATTTCATGACATTTAATATTTTTTTAAAGTAAGTTTATTGTGGCCCACAATTTCAGAAATTTTAGTCCATGGTTGGCCCACTCCCTTTAAAAAAAATTTTTTTTAATTGTTGATAGACCTATCCTATTTATTTATTTGTTTGTTTATTTATTTATTTATACTCAGTGCTGAGAATCAAACTCAGTGCCTCACACATGCCAGGCAAGTGCACCATCACTGAGCCACAGCTACAGCCCATGAAATTTAATTTTTTAAAAATTACTTCTTTTTCTTTTATTTATCAAAAATAAAATCATGATTACTCAATTTTTTGAAAGAAAAGATCATGCTAATGCATTAGATAGATTTCTTATAGAAAGATTTAAAATACTAGCAGTTTTAGTTCTAAAAGGAAAAAAGGATATTTTTCCATAATATTAATTACATGATGAATATAATATGTTTGATACATAATAAACATAATGTTTATTACATTTGTAGGTAGGTATCTTTCTTATAGCTGATCTTAAATCAAAATTTAAGTAATAGTTTTTGGTAAAAAATATTCTTGTTAAAAATTATTAAATGAATAACTTTAAACTGAAAAGGCCAAATTATAATTTGCTATTTTGTTTATAAAACTATAGCTTTGTGCCAAGTGTGGTACATGGCTGTAATCCCACTTACTTGGGAAGCCAAGGCAGGAGGATCTCAAATTTGAGACCTTCCTAGTCTCAAAATAAAAGAGGGCTGGAGGTATGTAGCTCAGTGGTAGAGTGCTCGCCTAGAACTCAAGCACTTAGAGGCCTTGGATTAAATCCTTAGTACTGCAAGGAAAAACAAAAAATAAGAAAAGCTTTGTGACTATTTTAGAACTCGGTATTAAGCATCAATCTTTTCAGTCTCTTTATCTGTCAATCTTTAACTGCTAAAGAAGATAGTTTGCATGAATATAGAGTAATACAAATGAACTGTTGGAAGTTACTTTAGTACTTAGATTCTTTTGAAATGATTACTTACTTTATAATCCAGTTTCTATATTATATAGGAAGGAAGTCTGTTAATTTTTAATGACATACTTCACAATAACAACTATAATCCTAAAATTATAAATATACTTTTTTCTTGTTAGAAATAGGTTGTTCGGGTATAAAGCAAGGAATGGGATAGCTGGGTCAAATGGTGGTTTCTTTCCATTTTCTGAGGAATCTTCATACCGCTTTCTAGAGCAGTTGCACCAATTTGCAGTCCTACCAGCAATGTATGAGTATACTTCCCCCCACATCCTTGCCAACACTAATTATTGCTTGTATTCTTGATAATTGCCGTTCTTACTGGCATGAGATGAAATCTTATAGTAGTTTTGATTTGCATTTCTCATTGCTAGAGATAATGAATATTTTTTCATATATTTGTTGATCGATTATATTTCTTCTTCTGTAAAGTGTCTGTTCAATTCCTTAGCATATTTATTGATTGAGTTATTTTTTTGGTGTTAGGTTTTTTGAGTTCTTTATATATAATCCTGGAAATTAGTGCTCTATCTTAGGTGCATGTGGTAAGGATTTTTTCCCATTCTGTAGGCTCTCCACATTATTGATTGTTTCCTTTGCTGTGAAGAAGCTTTTCAGTTTGAATCCATCCTACTTATTGATTGTTGGTTTTACTTCTTGTGCTTTAGGAGTCTTATTAAGGAAGTCAGGTCCTAAGCCAACATGATGAAGATTTGAGCCTACTTTTTCTTCTGTAAGGTGTATGGTCTCTCTTCTAGTGCCTAAGGCTTTGATCCACTTTGAATTGATTTTTGTGCATGGTGAGAGAGGTTTAATTTCATTTTGCTACATAGGATTTCCAGTTTTCTCAGCACCATTTGTTTTATAGGTTATCTTTCTAATTAGAACAAATTAAAAATTAAAACAAATTAAAGGTTAATAAAAGATAACTACTATGTTTCATATTTACTAATATATAGTAATTACTGAAGTTTGGATATTTTCTTTGTATCTTCAGCACAAGATATGGTACATCATCTATGTATTAAATAAAAATGTTGACTGAACTAAAAAAAAGAAAAAGGTTGTTTGAAGAAGACACATTCAAGAAAAATGTTAAACATCTTTGAAGAAAAATGTAGAACATGCTTGAGATTCATTATCCTCCTTAGTTCACAAAACACAAAAGACAGTCAAGCCTAATACATAATATTTACTCTCTGAAAGAACTTCTACCTCATCTTTTCCATCTTTTCTGCTCATCTGCCTTTCTTTGTTAAGCCTATTAAGTTATAAGCCCACAGCTTCCTGCTTTAGCTTTTTGTGTTCTTTTCTCTGGCCTCAAAATAGAAATAAACACTGATACCCAGGAAGGAACCAAAAAAACCTCCTCACAAACCCAAATGGGGTTCGCTGACCTTCAGAAACTCTCCACCTCCATCACTCTCCTGTGTTCATAATCCCTTCCTGTCTGACCTATGACCTTGTCTGACCCTATTTTGTCTTCAGAGAAGCACCTGGAGTGGGTGAAATTTTCTGCCCCCTTCCAGCCAGATCACTGTTCTTCTAGCCTCTCCATTCCCTTCCCCTTTTTGTAAGGAGCTTTGATCTTTGTGTGTTGATTTTGCTGACCTGCTCTACAAACTTTTCCTCATCCATCTTTCCTTTACCTTTGGTCATCATCCTCAGAAGGTAGGAGTAAACAGATGTGAGGCCAAACATATTGCTAGGTTTGTATTTAATTAATCCATATGGTATGTTCATGAGTATGTGGAAATAATAGCAGCAGGGGCAACTAGCATTTATTGAGTCCACCAGGTGCCATGCACTGTGATAGATACATAATATATTAATTGATACTCAAAACAATTTACAGAAAAAGAAACCCAGATTCACGTTATTGTTTTTGACATATAATTTAGTCATATTCACTCACCATATCATTAACTGGAATGTTTTCCATGGAAAAGTAGTAGTTTTTCAAGATTTCATTTTAAAGGAAAAAAGATTAATATTATATGGTTAGTCAAAAACTAAAGTAGAAAGTTTCAGTGGCTTTTGATAGAGAATACAAGTAAACCAATAATTTTCTATAGTCATATTGCTACTTAGTTTTCTAACTTTTCTATTTCTCATTTGTTTTCCTTTCCACAACAATGAATATCTGTTGAAGATATTCTAAGCCTGTGATACTAAGTGAATGTTTATTTTTTTAGTAGTTTAGAAGTATTCAAGTAACTAGCTATCTTTCCCATTTTAAAAAGTGTTGGCTGAAGTATGGTTTATTATTCTCAATTTTGAGAATTATCATTAACGTAATTACTATTATTTGGTTTTCACATTTTTAAGGATGGCCTTTCAGTCGGCCTCTGACACTTGAAATTATTCTAATGGTAGAATATCTGGTGGAACCAAGCACTGTTTCATCATTGAAATATCTGTCATGTCTTTGTAATGCAAAGAAACTATCCAAAGCAGAGTTTGCATTCAGGGAGTAAGTGACTTCCCAAAAGATTCTTTGGCAATTCTACTTTTCTGCCTACTTTGAAGGAAATTGAAAGAGGAAAATGGGAAGCTGGAGAATTTGAAGCTTTCCCTATTGGGACAGATGGATAAAGTGACCTTTTTTTCCTTTTCTTTTTGCTGTTTGACTAAGCTTTTGTGGAAAGCTGCAGCCCCTCAGGGGACTGATATCTGCTTGAGTAATTAACTCATGATTATGCAAAGTTAGTTTATCTAGCCTCTTTGTTTTTCCCCCTTTTTTTGTTGCCTTGGGCTACTTCATTTCTTATTACCATCTTCACTGTGTTAAGGCTGGGGGGTAAAGAAAATGGTAGAGACAATAAAAGGAGTCCAACTTATTTTATTTTGCACATTTTACTTTCATTAACAATTTTGTTAAAACAGCTGTTAAGAATTTATTTAGGCGGTAATTGTTTTCTGTTAAGATTAGGTATACAACAATTTTACAAAATAGTTCCTAAATACAGTTTTCAGGGTCCATCTAGATTGAGTAAATCAAATCATATAATCAGTCAAGAATAACCATAATAGCTTTTATTGCATATCAAATTCTTTCTCTTACACTCTTGATCCTTATAACAGTGTCTGGTATGTAGCAAGGCTTTTAAAATACTTATTAACTATTAGATGAATATATAACAGTCCTGTGAGATTAATATTGGCATTTATCTGCAATGTTAAATGAGAAATGATGACATTTGGTTTAATTTGTACCTAAAAATCATACAGACACTAAATTCTGTCATTTTTCAGCCATAAACCTCTTAACCAAGGAGAAGGTATTAGTAAATGTATTCTCTCAAAGTTTGAATAACAGAGTTTAGACTTACACAGTAAGTTGTTTTTTTTTATAATGAGGCAAATAAAGAAAACCCAAAAGCATGTTTTCTGTCCTGGCAAGCTTCTAGGGTCTGTCCAGCAGTGCCTCCCCAGCTCTGCACCAGTGGGTCCTGACTCCTAAAGCGTTTGTTTGTTGTTGCTCAGGTTCTTCTCTGGATGTCAAGGGTTGAGGTGAGGGGAGATATGTGAAAGCGGTGTTTTAAAGAGTGCAGAAATTACTGTAAGGTAGTCTGTGTCACCCCCACCACCCACCCACATTCTGTTTTTCTTTTCTTTCTTTCTTCCTTTTTTTTTGGGGTGGGGGGGGCTTTACTTTAAATATTTCAGTTTACCTAAGGTACCGACAAGAAAGGACTTTTTTTTTCTGACTGCATTTACTATGTGCCAGGTTCTGGGAGTGAGGGATGAACAAAAGAAGATAAAATCCTTTCTCTAGGAGAGATTCTTTAATGGTGGGGGAACAAGAGTATTAAGCACAGTGAATAATTAAGTGGTATAATATGTCACCAGGTGATGAGTGATGAGATGTTGGGTGAGGAGCAAGGGTGAGAGACTGTCAGTGCTTGAGGCGCTTACCTCCTCTGTTCCAAGTGTTCTTTTCTCCGTGACATATGTATTATTATCTCATATATTGTATTTCCTTGCATATTTGTTCATCATTTCTCCCCACCAGGCCCTCAATAAAATATAAACTTTGAGGGCAAGGATTTTTGTTGTTGTTGTCACTTTTATATTTCTAGATGATAGAACACTACATGGGATACAATAAATGCATGTTAAATGTGTTTCACACAGGATGGTGAAGGTAGGCCTTGCTGATGTCCGAATAGGGATGTAACATGAGGATATCATGTCAATATCTTGAGGAATGTAGAAGAGTCAGTATGGCTGAGGCCTAGTGAACAGTGGAGGGGTAGAAGAAGAATCAGAGCAGAGGCAATCAGGGATCAGATTATGTGGGGGCTGTGTATGCCATTTTAAGACCTCTGGGCTTAGGGAACTGAAGAATAGGTATAAGTTACAGTCTAGAAATATGAATTTGAGAAGTGAGCATACAACTGGTACTTGATCATCTAGGGAACCAGAACAGAAAAAGAATGGTTCTGTGCACTGAGCCTTTGGGTATTTCAGTGTCTAATGTTCAAAGATAGGAGGAAGAATCAACAAGAGACTGAGAAAGATTGATAAGTGAGGTTAAAGGGCAACCTATGAGTTTTCTCTGGAAGCCATGAGCAGGGAAAGTGTTTAGTAGGAGGGGAGTGATCTTCTGTACTATTGCTTGTAAGTTGAATAGTAAGATAAGGACTGAGAATTAAGCACTGGTCTGAGCAACTTGGAGATGACTTTTGGGGGGAAGTGATGGGAAATAAAAGTTTGGTTGAAATGACTTCCATAGAAGAAGAAATATGGACAACTCTTTTGAGGATTTTTGCTATCCAGAAGAGCAGAATTGGGACTGTACCCGAAGGGGATGTAGGGTAAAGTAAAGGGTTTTTTAAAGGTGGAAGAAATTATAGTGTATTTGTATGCTAATAAAATGATCCAGTTGAGAGAGGAAAATTGATAGCATAGAAGAGATGGGGGAAAATTTAAAGAGCAATGTTCTTGAGTAGTAAGTATATATCCAAAATTAAACAAAAGAGTTGAAGCATAAAATAATTAAATAACTAGTAAGTGGTTATACTTATTAAATATTCTTGTTGACCATTTACCATGTGAAGAGTTAGACTGGGATGACTGGATTTTAGTAGTAGCTAACCAGTCAAGCATTATGGTGTTCTTCAACAGAAATGTAGATGAGTAACCTCATTTTTCTGATATCACTTGTGACTAGTAGTATGCTTTTTGGCAATGGTTTTACAACTTACAAATGTAATTGTTTCTGATATAATTTTCTGGTGATTTGTGTTAAAATATGAATAATTATTTCCCAGAGACAGGAAAGAAAAACAATTGTTTTTTTAATTGAATTTTTTTTATTACTTTTCTGAAGTGTGTAGTCTGTTATTGGCTTGATAATCTAATTTTTATTTTTTTCAACTTTTCAGGCTGGAGTGAGACAGCTTTATGTACAGATTGACTTTGCAGCCATGTAGTAAATGAAAAGAATGTTTTTTTTTTTTCTTTTCTTTTCTTTTTTTTACCAAATTTTTCTGGTACTGTACAATCCAAAACGTTGTACTAAATAGAGATTTCATCACTACAATTCCCCAGCACCATGAAGACCAGGTAGAGTCCGCCGTTTGTGCTCTGTGGGGAGTTCACCACTAAGGGATCACAATTAAGAGGATATCTCCTGGACTGCTGGTCTTGTCATTTGTGCTCTTCCCTCCAAGCCATTCTGGTTTCTGAGGTTTTTGGTTTTGTTTTAGAGGGTTGATTTGTCCTTTTTTCCCCCATCAGGGAGTGGGAGGGGGGTTTCGTGAATGCCCTTTCCCTGTCCCTCATCCCAGCTGGTGAGATTCAGACTGTGGGCTTCCAGTCATCTGGAATGTCTTCACTGAAGCTGCTGGAACCACTGCTTTTATTCCTACAAAACCAGTGTTATTTAAAAAGAAATGGAAATATGTTTTATATGTAATGTCACAGTTGTTGACGTTCTTCAGTATAATCATATGTTTGTAAAATTGTTTGTACCTTGCAAACTTATGAACCAAACCATATTGGGTTTTCAAAGTGCCTTTGTATCAGAAAATGTATTTGCCAGCATAGAAATGTACCAACAAAGGTCATGTATGTGTTTTTTTAAATGGATATTCTGTAATCTGTACAAAACATGACTCTTGCTTAGAATACCAGTCTTTTTTTGTGTACTTCCAGCGTTGGTTTAGATACATGAAGTTTCTTTTTATTGTTTTATCTCATCAAAAAAATAAATAAATAAAAGGTATTATTTTGCTTTTTAAAACGAATTCAATAATCACATCAAATTACTTTGTGGAGTGGATTCTCAAAACTTTGCAAATGTCTGTTCCAGACAAAATTGTTTTGACCTAAAACATTTGCTAATTTCCAAATTTCTGGAAAGATACTGTGTTTATGATAAATTTTCCAGTAGCTCTCCTTGCCATTTTTGTGAATTTTATTAATGTTTGGAAAAGGCAGTAGACTGAAGGCAGAAACAGTTGTCATAGCATTAATGTGCATTTTCAATCTTCAAATGTCAAATCATACAGTTTGTTTTCCTGTTTTAACTTTGCACAAATGATTGCTTTCAGGAATATTATACAGCATTTGATTGAGTTGGAACTGTTTAAGGTACGGAGCAAATGTGGTGATGTAGAACTCTTCCTAACACAGGTGTCTTAGAAGTACAAGATAAGCTTATTTCTAGGTTCTTGTGTGTTTGAAAAATAAAATTGCAATTTGACACAAGTGCTTCAACGCGCTACTTAAGTATTCTTTTATGAAGAGATACTGATTTGGATAAACATTTTCCCATTGTACTTCCTTTTATCACAACATATATTCCCTTTTACTTTAAAACACTGAAATTGTTGCGGGGGGGAATCTTGTGGAGCAACAATGATTGTAGAGAAGAGTATAGATCAGTACATTCAGTAAAGTAGCAAAAATCATTATTGATTTTGCATGGGTTTTAGAATATCTTTTCCCTACTTCTGATCCATCATTCATGAACTATTTTATATTAGAAAAACTACACCATTTTCTTCATGCTTTTAAAAACTGCTACAGATTACCATTAACTGATCATTCAAGACATGTTTGCTCACTTCCAGGTAGTTTGAAAGCTAAGAATTCCTGCAGTAGATTGTGTTCAATTGAAAAAGGTCCTTTAGGAGGGAAAGTACAGAAGGAAATGTGGTCTACTAGTATTGCTTTTTCATTACAAGTGTAAGTAGTCATTTGGAAGTTTGAACCACTACCAAGTCTGATAGAACTCTGGGATAATCAGTCTGTGGGTTTTGGCATATTACAGAAAATGACAGGTCTAGATGAAGGCAGAGATTTTGGATGTATGCCTTTACAAACTAATTATATGTAACTATCCTGACATTTCACATATGGAGATAATTGCACTGGTTTGTAAATTTTATCAGTGCATTCTGAAGATCCAGTTCTGCCTTAAGCTGAGCCCTCCATTCCAAGTGAAGTTTTTGTCAAAATATGTATATTACTTTATTTAATTGTATCCTCAAATGCACAAATCCATGAATATGCTTTTTCCCCTTTGGTAAGTATTGGATATGAAACTCTTAATTTTGTACTGTTTCAAGAAATTTCCAGCTCATGTCATTGAGCAAGTTGGCATTAACATTTATGTTTTAATTAAATGTCAGTATACCTGTGTATACAGCAGAAAAGAAAAATGTTTTTTTCTCACAGAAAATAATTGCTTATCAGTGGTCTTGGCACAGATATTATATATTACTAAATTAATATATTACTAAAATAGATATTTCACTGAGAAATACCACCTGATTATGGTTGTAAATTTAGACTGTCTTTAGCATTAGGCTCTTGCAAAACAAAAACCATCCATATTTGAGTATAAATTTACCAGTATTTCAAAAACCAGAATATTCTCTAGACAGCAAATTTGTATTGCTCAGGAAAAGTTTACTTTGCTGGGTAAGCTTTCCTAAACAGAAATATACCCATACTACTTGTGTCTTTTAAAATTCATTTTATTACTGAAGATGAAGGACTTATGCATAATTTCCTCAGTTTGCTAACTCCCTGTGCATCTTGGTGAAGGGCAGTATCTAGTTTATCTGTAGGTTACTGTTCCTCATACTGTCACATGTACCATTCTTCTGCAGTGGATGCATAATAAAGAGGTAACAGGTGTCACTGGTATTATGATTTCACTTTGTCTGAAATGTTTCAGCATTTTTCAAAGCCTACACATATTTACCAGTAATCAAAATACTGTGACTTTTATGTACCTCTCTAAAGCAGCCGAATCATTAACTCAAAATGCAGCTGACCAGAGTTCTGTAATGTTTTTACCTCCCATGGAATAAGCAATTTTTACAAATATCAGAATGGTAACACCCTGATATATAATGTTGGGATTTAAGAATAACATTACATTACTTAACAAAATTTTACATCTAAGTGAGGGCTTTGCTTAGAAGCAATCTAGCTCTACCTCTCATTTTACAGATGAGAAAATTGAAGCCCAGAAAAGCTATTATTTACTCAAGGCTCAGAGATCTTTAGTGGCAAAGCCAAGATTAGAATTTAGATCTAGATCTTCTGACTCTTAAGTTGAGAGTTCTTTATTGTGCTGCCTCTCTAGTATGATATTTGCTTTTCTGTAAATGTGACTGACAGTTGTAAATAAAGAATATCCAACAAACATTTTTGGTACATTAAGGCACTTTATAAATGTAATTTGTCTCATTTTTTCATATCTAATAATGAAATTAGATTTTTCCGTATTTTTTTTTTTTTTTTACTTGTGGAACTAATTCCTTTTAAAAAATGATGACATTTTTACAATGGATACTTCTGTCAGCAAATGTACCTGTTAATTTCCCAAGATTCAATCCAGTTTAAGGATTTCTTAGTTTCCTTTTCTGTTTTTATTGTGAACTGGTACTTTTTAAAAACCAGGTGAATTCACAGATTATAGCATTTTGTGTTGCCACTTTGCATTTCAATCACTGGAGAGCTTTTTGTTTTTAAAATCCTTGGAGCTGTTTTTAAAAGGGGCATTAAATATATTGAAGAAATCTTTCAATTCAGTAGGGTAAAGTTTTGAAATCTTAGTAGAATTCCATATGTTAAGCCACTACTTCTGGTTTTTCATTAAGGCATTATCTTGGGGAAATTAAGCTTTTTTTCTTTCTTTTTACAAAAAAGTCACCATTTTTTCAATAAATTATTTTCTAATTCACAAGAACCATGGAAATTTTATCTTTTGAAAAAGATTCATTACAAGTTTTATCAGTAGAAGATTGTTTCAAGATGTTATCCTCCAAAAGCCATAGTGACTCAGATCCCCACCACAGAATCAAAAGAGACTCAAAGACAAAGACAATGAAAAATTTTAATGCACCAAAAAGTGTTTGCAGAAAAGGAGCAGAGAAGTATAGTTCTATTTAAATGCCAAATGGATGGGAGCCTTTTTGATGAGGGCATCTTAGGTTTATGTTTAACATTTCCTAACTGCAGATTATACAGAAAACAAGGGTGGGGAATAACATTTATTCAGTATTTATGTGCCATGCACATCATGGCCTTTCTCATATTATCACATTTAATCCAAACATTTCTATAAAGAGTGAATTTTGCATGACTTTTATTAAATGAAGTTATATCAAGAGAATTTTAAGTTACTTGCTTGGGGTAGAGCACCAAATCCAAATCCAGCACTTTTTCTAACAACTACTCTTTCTTATGTATGTCATTCAACAGTACTTTCAAGATCCAGGACTTAGCAGATCTAAAGATATGCTCCTAAAAACCCAACAAATGGATTACCGTGACAGAATTAATGTTGGGCAACAGTTGTTATAAATCATTTAAACTCATTCCTTCTTTCTGTACTCTTATGCTTATTTTCTATTTTAGCCATTTATGTAAAACTATGCAGGCTGAAAAGAGTAATCAGAATTTCTCAAACACTTTTAAGACCATTAAAAAAAAAAAGAAGAAGTAGAAAGTTTTATTGGCATTTGGAGTAAGCTGCTTAAGAGACTGACTCAAGATAGTGCCCTCTGTGTCAGTATGAGGAACTGAACTCTTGTTTACTTTATTAAGAAACTGAACATACTTTATTGTCTTCCAAGAAGTAAAAATAATTTTGTGCTGCAGGAAAAAGATAAGCAGGATTTGTACATTTTATATATATATATCTTTTCAAAATGAAATCTGTTTCATATAAATCTATGCTATCACCATAACTTTGAAAATTTAGTATTTGTAATTTTGATCTTGATGTTGGAAAGCTTATAAAGGAGAATGTCTTTGTCTTGTACATAATTTTATCCCCAAAGTTAGTATGAATTTATACTTAACATGCTCACTAAATGTCTAGCTAAATAGTGAGTACCTATTGTAGATAGTAGCAGATACAAAAGTAAGCGTTATAGACAAGTAAGATCAGTAATTTACGTGTCACGGAAGACATCTCAGCTTTTTTTTTTTTTTTTGCCATTTTTGCACAAATAAGTGACTTTTACCCCCCGCAAGTATCCTTGTGAGCTGTCCATTCTTTTCAGTACACAAACAGTGCAGGTATACAAATGTTACCCATCTTGCATACTGTTGGAAAGGAATTGGCAGAACTGAGACTGCAACCTGGGTCACTTGAATTTTTGTATTTTGCATATTTACATTACGAACCACAGTCTCCTTTTTTTAATGGAGAATTGCCATATTCATATTACTTAAAGGACCTACATATGTCTTCTAGTTTATCCCCATGTGTATTATCATCCAAAACTCTTTCAGAGGTTTCTTGAAGGTGCTTCTATAAAAACAACATGTAATAATTAAGTGAATTAAATATTCCTGGAATAGTTTGTACCTTTTTTCTCTTGTCCCCCTCCAAATACTACATTTTGGTAAAACATACCTCTATTTCTTCATTTTTAAATCTGTTCATTGTTGCTTCCACTGTAAAACTTCCACTTTATACTGGTAGGGGAAAAGGTTTTGTTTTGAATTTTAGCATTTGAGTTTTGGTTATGTATTACATATTGTATACCACCCTCAATGAAAAATCTGTTTTGAACTAGGCATATCCTGTCAATACTCTGTCCAATAAGTTCATTGCTTTCTCAAATAGTAGCAAATTCAATGATATGTTTTCCCATGTGATAGTTTCTGTAACCTTCCTGAATTTGATAAATAAGCAGAATGGACATCTTATATTGGAAATACTGTGAATGGAAAAATTGCCAAATCTCTTCTTGATATTCTAAACACCCCTACAACACTTTGCACTCTTGTCTTTAAGGATTTTTAAACGTAGGGTCAAGGATTTGGGTTTGATCCTTTGGTGAAGATCATGGCATCATGGCATTTCCAAAACCATCTGCGTACACTATCACATTTGAGATGTTGTGATGTGGCTTGATGATGTTAAGGTAAGCCGCTATGATTTGCCCAAGTGCAATATAAAAAAATCCAGAATGTATATTTCACTTTTTTCTACTTTCACACACTCACATATACATTTTGTTTAACTTCAGGTATATTTTAAAAGAATCATGAACCGCTGTATCAAAATTATTTTCAATAAAATTTGTTTTAAAATCTTTGTCTGAATTGTGTCTATCAGTTTGTTGAACTGGATTGTATTGGAACAGCTTGGATTGGATTTATGATATGAAAGCAAAAGAAAAATTCTCAGAGCCAAGAAACAACAAACTCATTAGCAGACAAGAGACACTGAAGTC